TAAGCTTAGCTTTTTTGTGCATTCAGCTTTTTTGTGCATTCAAAAAAATTTAATTAGTGATCTGAAATACCAGTAATTCTAAGAGCTATAACTTGTCCGCACAATTTCTCCTCTGGTCCATTTACATTTACTATGAAAAATATTTGAAAAGTGAATAAAGTATATAAATGTTAATAAAAAAAATTACAATGTAGGAAATTAACTCTTTTGGACGAAAACACAGACCAAAGAACAAAATCGAAAATCAAAACAGCGTGACATCTCCTTTACATTGGTTGCTGGTTCGGGGGACCACTGATAATTATTTTATGCTGGTCCGAATCATATTGAAGTGGCCCCGAACTAACGGACAATCGTTAATTTCGTGGCCTGCAGTTTAAAAATACTCTTAATTCTTTGGATATGTTTGACAATATTTCTAAAAAAAAACATGCTAAAAGTGCTCCTCATAGAAGAATTTTTATTTTGTTCTCAATAAATTTACAACACTTTTTTTTGTTTTTAAAATTATTTTTATTAGCCTTGCGCGAAATTATAAATTTATAAAACTACCTAATGAAAAAGAGACAGCTTAATGACGGTTTTTTTGAAATGCCCTTATTCGTTGAACAACGTGGCATCGTTTTATTTCCCCGGGAATTTATACCTAAAATTCGAATAAAAAAATTTGCAAAAAATAATTGAATAAAACCATGATACTTGATAAATTAAAATGAACATGATTGTAGAAAGAAAAACATTCACGATTCGTCTATTGTTTTAATTCACCCGTCATAAAAATGCCCCTTTTTTCTTCTAAAAATAACAGGCATCCTCTATTACCCTCCCAAAATACCCTCATCATAATTTGACCAGAGGGCACGAGGAATTAACTCTCTCTTTTGGAATTTATTGTACTTATTGTTTTAAAAAAGATGACGCATAAAAAATACCCTTCTGTGAGAAGGGCACTTGGAATATCCTTACGAGTCCTTATTCTTTCATGTAAGTATTCTTGATGGCTTAATGATGATTCCTGTTGAGAAGTAGCACTTGCAAAATGGCTCTTTCTGTTAAATGACCCGAATTCTTTTGTTGTTGAAAAGATTTTCTAGTAAAACGTCTTATGCCGCTATCAAAGCTTTCTATATGTGGAAAGTGTTGTGGTGAAAAGTTAAATTAGTCTTATCTAACAATTTCCAGCTTTCGGACTGGTTTGGTTGCAAGTTTTTTTTTTCCTTTGTTGTAAGAATTCTATTTCATAAAATTTTAAACGACTGTACTTGTAAGAATTAAGATCTTTAATTAAAATAAATGGTATGTTTTATAGATTTGTGGAATATCCGTTTATCCATCATGTTCTTCAAAATTTTTTAAAGATGGTATTCGTAAAAGTAAAGATGTTTTTTTTTTTATTATTTATTTATTTTTTTAAAAAAAAGTGTTTGTGGCAAACTTATGGATTTTCAATATCAACTTTCCTTGATGATTCATATAACGAAATATCACTAATATAATGAACCTGACATTCATTAAATGACAAAAAATAAAATGGGCAGGCCATGTTATCAGAATGGATGAAGATCGTTCCTCAAAAAGAGTTTATAATGCCAGACTAGTTGGCGCACGGAAAAATGGCTGGCTGAATTTGAGATGGATAGATTGTCTAGAAAAAGACCTTTTCGTCTTAAAAACTGGAAAGAGCTAGCAGGAAGATGGTTGGCCAGGAAAAAACTTCTTAAGAAGACCAAGGCCCATCCTGGGCTGTCAAGTTATTGATGAGGATTCGTAATAGTAAAGATCGTTTAAAAAAATAGTGTTTCTAGTAAATTTTTTGGATTTTCAGTGTCAACTTTCCTTGGTGATAGATTTTCAGAAAATCTGTTTTATCGATATTTTAGACGAGTTTGACATGTATCATTTTTTCCTAGATATGCATTTACGTCTAATTATTCAATAACAACCACAGATTGTTTTTTTTATGTCCTGGAAAAAGTTTTGCAAATTGAATTTTAACGAATTTTGTGAAATTTTTGCAAATGGCCTTCTGATTTCGGACTAAACTGCTTTTGCCTGTACTAAAAAAAAATTGAATAGGAATAAATGCAAACGATTTCATTTCTACTTCTTTAATGAACACCCGTATTTTCATTCATAAAAAAATTGCATCATTCACTAGCGTGCAAAGTTGCACCGAGCAAACAATCAATAGAGGTATTTGAATACATTACATTTTTTATAAAACTTATTACCTATTTTAAAACATAAATAATATTTTTGTTTGTTTTAGAAACATATTTTTTACTTCGTAATAAATGGGAATTAAAATTCTTCATTATAGTGTGAAAATCCTGTGAGAACACAGAGAAACAACTGCCTCAATGAGGAGTTGCACTTTCAATCTTTTTATGCGTTACAAAAATAAATAAATAAGCGTAGTTCAAAATTGAAAACATATGAGAAAAAAAAAAGCTTCATCATATGGAACTATTGACAGTTTTTGAGGGTTTATAATAGACAAGGAAAATTTCCGAAAAGAACCGTAGGTTTATGGGCGTAATCCAACCTACCCGTTTTACCCACTCCATTTATTTAAATAATTGAACTGGTTGAAGGGCATTGATCTGCTCATGAATGTAGTTTTTTCATACTTTTTACAGCTTTCAAATGCTTCAACTTATGGTCGAAAATAAATAAATTAGGCACTAATAATAATAATAAATGTAAAAAGAAAAAGACCAATAAACGTTTTGATTGTATTTTAATCAAAATTCATTTTAAATTAATATTTCAAACTGTAGCTTTCGAGCAATGGTCGGAAGTAGCTCCCTACAAGTAGCAACGCTACTGTAGTCGCAACTTTTTTTACGTCGTTTGAAGTGTAGTGCGCTACTTTTTACAAGAAGTAGTGTAGTAAGTAATGCGATACAAAAACAAAAACAAAAAAAGTAATTTGTAGCGATTCCTGGTGACTACTTTTAATGTTAGTTAAATAAAGAAAGTTGAAACGCAAAGAAAAATTTGAGTCTGATGGGTGCAAATCCTTCGCGGTCCCGTCAACGTACGCAATGAGAATGCCTCTGTGGCTAAGCGTTGATAAGATCTACGTTTGATACTCGGAAAAATCGGTCCAGTTGTTACTGAGAAATCGAGTTTAAAATATCTGACTTTTTTAAAATTCTGATTTCACAGGCACTATAAAGTACATTTTTGTGTCTGATGCCGTCACTTGTATTATCGCCTGCATTAATTAGCATATTTGAGATCACCCCATCAAACCATTAAGATTGAGTCCTAGAACGTGAACATCCGATCGTTAGATCAAAAGTTATTCAGGGTTTTTTTTCCGCATTGTTCCTTGTTCCTTGGCAGATTTAAAAAAATCATTGATCAGTTAAATATTTGATCATTTCTTAAATTAAATATTCACTGTTGAGAAAAGCATGGAGTTTGAAGGTTAAAAGAACAAATCCGTAAGAAGTGCTTTAAAATAAAAAAATAAATATTTCATGTAAACATGAATTAAAACTTCTTAATAACTCCTCATTTTTAACCAAGCCAATTTTATATTCAAAATCATATTGAATATTGGTGAAAATTAATTTCTCTAGGTTAAGTATGTCTTCTAAGTTTCGAAAGTAGTTCGTAGTCGCTATAGTATTTTTTTAAAAATCGTCGTAGTTGTAGTTAACTACAAGGAAAATGTAGTGTTTCTCATCACTCACTGCTTTTTGGAGTCGGAAAAATTCTCTCAACTTCGTCTCCGGTTGAATAAAAGTGTTAGGTCTTATAAGTTAAGAGAAGAAACAAAGATTTTGAAAATTTATCCAAATATTTATTAATTAGTAATTGAAGAAAGATATTTCTCAAATGAATAATGTGCCAATTGTTTAATTTATAACCCCTTGCTTTCGGGAAGGGTATAACTGTGGCAGGTTTTCGTGGTTTTCCTCACCATATAACGCAAATACGGGTTAGTTCCATTAAAAAAGTCCTCCCCGATGACTGGTTTGTCTCAATGCTTGATTCAGAAGTTTCCTTGTCTTCTGAGTTCAAAATTACAATGTTGCGGAGTTGAACATTGATAGTTGTAAAATCAGAATTGGGTTGGCTGTTCAACATCGGTTGTAAATTAACAAATAGACGAACAAGACGAAAATTATTTTTCTAATCACACTATAATAATGAATTCATGTATACAAGTGAAGGAAATTGAATTAAATTAGAATTGTATTATCCTTGCAAACATTTAAATGACTGCGTATAGATCAATTAATTTTTGATAAAATTTCTTAACTTAATAAAGAATTATTTTTTTTATCTAAAGACTAAGCTTTTGAATTACCGTTTATATAAATTATTCTTACCCACTTCATAAATGATTGAATACGGCATCATCATTCATTAACATAATTTATTTTAAGTAGTAATAAGACTATCACATTTAGCTTACTAACAGCAAATTTTTGATAAAAAAAATTGTTTTATTACGTTGAGATTGAAAACTTCATCTCTCCTCTTCTTTTTTTTTAATTAAAAATATTAATTTTCTTTGTGTAAAGATGGGTTTCTCAACACACAGGCAACCATATTTGTCTTTTTTGCATCAAACTTAGTTTATAACACCGTTTTATTTCGTTAGATTGAGTACGTAATATTATTTAAGTTTGGTGTCATGCACTTGTTAAATTTAAAACTATCAAACTAGTTCATTCAATTAACCGGAACTATTGTACACACCCTTCTAGTCTAGACTGCATGTGTTAAAAAAATAATAATAAATAGTAATAATTTATTTAATTCATAAATATTAATTTAGTTCATAAATATTCACTCAATAATTTATGCTGTTGCTAACAAATTACAGCTAAATTTGAAACTTTTCATTCTTTACATCATAGCAGTCCGGTAATGTTTTTTTTAAAAAAAATTTAGTTCGATATTTCCGCGCAGCTATTTTTAGGTCACATTCTTAAGCAATTTTTTACAAAACCTTTTCGATTTGTTTCAATCCAATGTTTACCTTGAAAAATATCGTTTTATCTCTATCTTTGTATAAGTCGACTAATACCAAATCCTTGGCGCGAGCCGTTCCTTTGTAGAAAACAATAGAGGCGGTATTTCGAACTTTTTTTGTGTGTGTAAGGAATTCCATTGCATTGAGGGCCTGATGATGATCAGGGGAAAAGTAAAGCGTGGGTGCCACGGAATCTTTTTCACCTGCCCAAAACGGAGATGTAATGGAGTGCGGCACCTAGCGGAGGTCATTTATTTGTATTATTCTTTTTGATCCGCGGTCCATGACTGAGGGAGATCTCTCTTTCTACTTTCAGTCTGGCATAAGCCATCTCGGTTGTTGTGTGTGCGTCACGGATTCCCTTGGATTTGTAATTTAAGCGCGAATCGGCTTTATTTTAGTGTAGTGAAATGAAAAAGAAGAGGGGTGATGAAAACGATGGATTTCGAATTAAACAAGTAAGAGATATTTTTTTCGAAAATTAGACAAAATTCCCTACTTTTTTTTAATAAGAGAAATTTACTGTGTTTCGTTTTAAGGAAAATAAAAGAGTGTTATTTTTGTTAGTAAATATATTTCAATATTTTTGAAATTTACAAACTAAAGTTATCAAATAAATGTCATATTATATTTCAAATGCTTATGCATTTATCTTTATGAATATTTTAAAATGTTATGAGTATCAACATTTGTTTGCATTTATCGGTACGCTTAAATTAAATGTATGTTATCCAAAATTAAATTTCTATTTAATGCAAATTGACAAAACGAATTTTGATGAAATACTGCAACATTAGTTAAAAAATTTTAAAAATAAATGGGAAAAAAATATGAATTTTTGATCCAAATTTTTTTTTACTACTTTAATACTTCATTGACAATGAAGTATTTCGAGAGGAGTGTTGCAGCGTATCCACTGTTCTGAACAATAAATTAGGACTCGTGAGGTAATAGTTTTCTGCAAAACAGTAATAATTTTTCAATTGCACCCTTTGCCATTTTAAAAGGATGTTCCTAAAACTGGGAAATAAAGAATCAAATCTGGAAAATCCAGGAAAATGTCAGGCGATTTGACTTAAATACTCAAAAAGTCAGGGAAAATGAATTCAAGTTGGTTTGTACATGAGAAATTCTGAATTTTCTGAAAGAATTTAGTTTTCTTTCTTTTATTTGCATTTATTTATTTGTGTACTTATAACTTGAATGGCAAGTATGAGTGTCTTCAATTTAGATTTTGTATTCAAAAATATGAAATAATTTAAAAGTTATTCTTTAAATTTTTTCCACCAGTTTCAGAAAGATCAGGGAAATTTCATAAAATTTGAATCAGAGGAAAGTCAGCAATTTTTTTTTCTTCTGTATTAGTGGCCACCTTAATTTAAAATTTTTTTTTTAAAAATTTGCATTTTTAATCTATTTACTATGGCTATGATTTCAGTAGACGTTCTTATTTATGAAAAATCTTTTTTTTTCCGCAATCGAAAAAAAAATTACTGTGTGAAAAAAAAACTTTACCCGTATAACTTTTGTTAAAGAGGTATATAGAGGTTTCGCTACAGATAGGTGGTTTTTCCTGGAGGTTTCACCGTACCACTAATTATAAAAATGTTAATATTATTACTTATTTATTAAAAACTAATTACTAAATAAATGAAGTCTATTTTTTTAATCAAACTAAGAGCATTAATGAATTGCGTTAGAGAATCAACTTGTGGAATGAAAAGTAAATTAATTTATATCAGAAAAAAAACATTTCCAAACATAAATTATTCTTGTCAGGACAAGTATTTATTCTTTATTTACGAGTAAATATCTTAATTACACATTTAATAAGCTTTAAAATTACTCTTATTGAAATAAATGTGCATGAAATTAAACGAGTATAATTAAAATATATTTATTGATAAAAAAAAGCAGCAAATTATATTACATAGTACAATGGGCACAATTAAATTTGAAAATGATATGAAATGAATGATGAAAAATTATATTATTATTTAAAAGTTACATTCTTATCCACATTTAAACTCTTAAAAAAATATTTTTTATTTATTAACTTTAACTTATTCATTGATTCTATGAATAAAACATATATTTTAAATGACATTTGATATCAATGGCTCATTATCACAGCCTTTAGTATAATATATTAGTTAATGGAGTGCTGCATATTTTCAAATGTGTCTAATTTTCCTTCAGTTAAAGTTCATCTTAGGAGCGTAATTTTTAAAACATCATGGAGCTTTTTTTGTCTACTTTCAACTTTTAATGTCATAGAAATAAATTGTATTAAAGATCTCAACTATTGTCATTTTGTCGGTGCGTGTGGAGAGCAATCCCTAAGAACTGCCTGCGGAAAATGTCAATAAATATAAAAAAAGCATGGTTGGTATGTTTTTATAATTTTTAATTGAAAAAAAAAATCATTGATTTGATTTACATGATTTTTTTTTAAATCACAGATTTATCTAAAGAATATTATGTATCCAAGATTTAACAAATGTAAAGAAAAACTTGTAATAAAACCATTAATCAGTCCTGAATTTTTGACGGCGCTAAATTTTAGCGGACATGGGCGATGAAATGTTTGGGATACCGCCCTTTTCCCCCCAAGACCCTCTCTTTTTGAAAATTGATCCTTTGACAGGACTTGAGATTCCCCTGATGTGGTGCATACCTTCATGAAAAACATGTCTGAGGGGTACAGAATACATACTTTCCCTTTTATCCTCTTTCATTGAAACATTTTCTGCTCTTCATCTCTCTCTTTATGAAAAAGTGAAAGAAATATCCATAGATGAATGCCAGGGGTCTGTCCAGACATTTTGTGAAATTGTAAAAAAATTACATTCTTTCAACCAGAGTCCTGCTTTTATGATTTTGTGCAAATAGGGTCCGGTTATTGCGAAGAACTTTTTCAAGGAGTTTTTAAATTGTAAATAGATACAAGATTATGCTCAGCACTGTAAAATTACAATAAAAAATTAAATTTTTAAAAATAAACAGCAATTGCTGCTTTTAAATTAGAGATGCAACATACAAATACAGTCAAACCCCGCTATAGTGAACCAGAAGGAACCGACATTTCAGTTCACTATAACCGAGAGTTCACTATATCCATTACGGCATCTAAATTTTTTTCATGGGCAGAAATTATTAACTGCCTATTTTTCCATATGTTACAAACTGCAGATTTGGATAGTTTATATTCTCTGCAAATGTCAGCTTGATTGCATCCATTTACAATTTTCTGATTATGCCCATTTTATCATCAATGAAGAACGTTTTACATTTACTGCTCGCCATAGTTAAATTTTAGAAACTTGTTTGCGGGCTTTTTTAAACTGAACTGAAAAAGGAGTTGTTTTGAAGTAGAAATTTCAAAATAATTACCAAAAAAATGAGGGTCAAATCAGTTCAAGACAGAAAAAAGTTCATTATATCCAACTTTCTTACTTTTTTGGTTCACTATATCCACAAAAAATAACATTATACGTGTATAGCAAGACACGGGACCGAACATTTCGTTCACTACATCCGGGAGTTCACTATAGCGGGGTTTGACTGTATTTGGTATTTAGCCTATACTGCTGCAAGCAAAATATTCATTTCGGACGAATAATGGAAAAATCGTCTGCCGAAGAAAAACTTAATTCGTTTACATCCATCTTTCTTGTTTTCTACCCTGGGAAGTGTTTATTCATTCAATTAACAAAACAATAATGAAGATAAACAAATTTGCGAATGGTCCGATTAAAAGAAAAATCATTTTGTGAAGGGTCCGTGTTTATGAAAAGATATTTTGTGAAGGGTTCGTTAACGGACCCAAATTTCTTCAAAGCAGACCCCTGAATGCAAAATGTTTCCCACTCAATTGAAGTTTTTTTTTTTTTTTTAAATCCATTCTCCCAAATTTCACCATTTTTTTTTTCTTAATGAGAAATAAAACTGTATAATCTTTCAAGCTTGCAATGTATTTTACCTTTTTAGATATGTATATGTTACCGGCAATGCGTAAAATGCCAGCATTCTTTGGAATATTTAGGTATTTTATTAAATGTCTGGCGCTTTTACTGAAATGGGTCATTCAAATATTACCAGGGGTCTGTCCAGACATTTTGTGAAAGGTCCGTTTTTCGTGAAATTGTGAAAAAATTACTCACATTTTTACAATCAGGGTCCGCTTTTATGAATTTGTGNAGCAGCCATTTTGAAACAAATGCATGAGTGAAATTTAAAGACTAGATGAAATAGAGAATTTCAAGAATACTTTAACTATTAAAACAAAGTTTCAATTACCGAACCATAATTTTAATTTAAAATTGTGATTTTTTTTTCTCTTGATTTTTAAAATGACAAAATAAATGTTACAGATTGTGTTTATAAATGTAGTCATTCATCAGAAATTAAATAAATATCTAATCTATATATTTTTATATTAAAATATTCATTTTTAATCCCATATCAAAATAGATAAGTTAAGCTAAAAAAAAAGTTTTGCAAAAATCTATGTACCCATTGAAATTTTTTTTCACAAAATTTCTTTATTGAAAATCTGATAATGTCAAAGATACTGTTAACATATTATGAGAAAAAGATACTTAAATGTTTACTTTAAACTGCACTTTCAATTTCGAGAATCAAGGAATTTTTAAAAATGTAATTTCAAATGTGTTGGAATTTAACACATACCATGAAAGAAAGTAATTTCATTAGCTAAAATTAATTAATGCAGCAATAAATAATAAATGCAATAAATTTTAAAACTTATAAGTATCAATAACTTAAAACACTTGTTTTCTAACTTTTTAAATCAATATAAAAAAAATCAGTTGATTTAACAACAGACCCCGCTTGAAATTGTCCTTTTTATGCGCATTGTTCATTGTTCAAAAACAATGCTTATTAAAAAAATAATAATTGGTTTGTAATTTAGAAAGTTTTTCAAATTAAGAAAACTAATTTTAACATATTTTATGGCAAATAGGAATGCGTGATTTCCTATGTAATTAAACATTAAATTAGAAGACGTTAATGTGATGTATAAAACCACTTAAAAAAAATTTATGGGCTTTTTTGTTTTCGTGTGAATCACTTATCTGCTTGTGAAAAAGTTAACGGTTTGGAACACGCAATTTAGCATTCTGCATCTAATTATGTTCGCTATTAAAATTTGACTAATCCTATTAGTTGAAGTGTTCATCGTCTTCACTTATTATTAAAATTCTCGCTCCAAATAATGTGAAATATTTTAAAAATATCGAATATTTGTATCTTTACTGTGTGAAGAAAATATTTTTAAACAACTTTTTTTTATATTTATAATGGGCCTTAAATGCTCGCGGTTCATCGCTTTCGCTCGAATATTCTAATTGAAATAATCCTCTTTACAAAAAAACTATAACTTAATGCTAATTTTTTAAAATTATATGTTGCAAATTTGGCAATCCAAAAATTC